TAGGGGATTCTCTTCTTGCTTGGCGTAGCAAAAAACAATCCCTCACTGCCCGCTTTAGCACCGAAGCTGAATACCGAGCTCTTGCTGATACTACTCAGGAACTTCTCTGGCTTCGCTGGCTCCTTGTTGATATGGGTGTTTCTTCTTCTGATTCTACCCCTCTCTATTGTGACAATCAAAGGTACACTGCCTCATCGTTCTTGTGCTGGCACGTCCCAGCAAAATGGCCGTGCTGAACGGAAACATAGGCATATTCTTGACACTACTCGCGCTCTCCTTCTCTCTTCTTCCTGTCCTGAAAACTTTTGGGGGGAAGCTGCCCTTACTGCTGTTTACACTATCAACTGTGCTCCTTCCCCTGTCATCCATAATCAAACTCCCTTTGAACGTCTGCATGGCACTCCCCCTCCTTACGCCAATCTCCGGGTTTTTGGCTCTGCCTGCTTTGTTCTACTTCAATCCCATGAACACACCAAGCTTGAACCTCGTTCTCGTTTTTGTTGCTTTCTTGGGTATGGAATTGAACATAAAGGCTTTCGCTGTTGGGATCCTCTCTCTCAACGCCTTCGTATCTCCCGCCATGTCGTTTTTTGAGAGCACCAAATGTTTTCCTCTCTATCCTCCTTTCACTTACCCGCACTTTCCACTCCTATACTGTTTACTAATCCTTCCATCGATCTTTTCTCTGCTGATTTTGATACAGGTTCCTCCTTCATCGAGACGTCCTTGCTCACTCCTGATCCCGTCCAGCCTGCTCTCCCTGAAGGTCTACCTTTTATTGCCACACCTCCTTCTCCACCGGTTCTTCTTCCCACCGATCCTCCTACGGGTCGACCACGCCGGGTAACTCAACCTCCTATCCATCTTCGTGATTATATTGTTGGATCTGCTGCCTTCTCTACTTATGAACTTACCTCCTATCGTGAGGCTTGTACTAATCCTCTTTGGCAGCAAGCTATGACTGATGAACTCCAGGCCTTGGACAAAGCTTCAACTTGGGATCTTGTTGATCTTCCTCCTGGCAAGACTGCAATTGGTTGCAAATGGGTTTACAAAATCAAAACACATTCTGATGGCTCTATTGAACGCTACAAAGCTCGTCTTGTTGCCCAGGGTTTCAACCAGGAATATGATATTGATTATGAGGATACATTCTCTCCTGTTGCTCGACTTACCTATGTTCGCAGTTTACTTGCTGCTGCTGCTGCTTGCCACTGGGGGCTCTTTCAGATGGATGTCAAAAATGCTTTCCTCAATGGTCATCTTCTTGAGGAGGTCTACATGCAACCTCCACCTGGGTCCACTTTTCCACCTCATCAGGTTTGCAAACTACAGTGTGCTCTCTATGGCCTCAAGCAAGCGCCTCGTGCTTGGTTTGCTACGTTCAGTTCTACCATTCATGACTTCGGGTTCACCTCTAGCCCTTATGACTCTGCTATTTTTATACGGACTACTTCTCATGGTACCACTATTCTTCTTCTGTATGTGGATGATATGATTATCACTGGTAATGATGAAGCTGGTATTCTCCACCTCAAACAGTTTCTCCACCGACAGTTTGAGATGAAGGACCTTGGTACTCTTAACTACTTCTTAGGACTTGAATTCTCTCATGATTCTACTGGTTCCTATTTGTCCCAGGCCAAATATGCATCCGATCTTCTGGCTCGTACTGGTCTTACTGATTGCAAAACTACCTCTATTCCAGTTGATCCTCAGATTCGTCTCACTCCTCTTGATGGGACTCTTCTCTCTGATGCTACTCTTTATCGCCAGCTCGTCGGCAGTCTTGTGTACCTCACAGTAACTCGTCCTGACATTGCCTATGCTGTTCACATTGTCAGTCAGTACATGTCGGCTCCCCGCACTCCCCACTATACTGCTCTACTCCGCATTCTTCGCTACCTCAAAGGCACTCTGTTCCATGGCCTTCACTTCTCTGCTTCCTCCTCTCTTGAACTGCGTGCCTTTTCCGATGCTGATTGGGCTGGGATCCTACGGATCGACGCTCTACCACGGGTTTCTGCTTCTTCTTAAGGGATTCTCTTCTTGCTTGGCGTAGCAAAAAACAATCCCTCACTGCCCGCTCTAGCACTGAAGCTGAATACCGAGCTCTTGCTGATACTACTCAGGAACTTCTCTGGCTTCGCTGGCTTCTTGCTGATATGGGTGTTTCTTTTTCTGGTCCTACCCCTGTCTATTGTGACAATCAGAGTGCCATTCAGATTGCTCACAATGATGTTTTTCATGATCGCACCAAACATATTGAGATTGATTGTCGTTTCATTCGCCAGCATGTTACCTGTGGTACTGTTCATCTTCTCCCTATTGCTTCCGTCGATCAACCTGCTGATATCTTCACTAAGGCTCATCCTCCTGGCCGCTTCAATGATCTTGTTTCCAAACTCAACTTGGTTGATGCTTTTCCTCCTTGAGTTTGCGGGGGGATGTTAGTATATTATTATATGTTAGCATTGTATATTATTATACTTTAGTATTGTTATTATTATGTTTTGCTTTAGATTTAATAACAGGCTATCTTTATGCTTTCGGCTAGCTTTATGCTTTCGGTGCCTCGCATCCAATGTACATCACAGGCTATAAGAAGAGAGCTAGGCTCCCTTTGTAAATTAACAAAAATTATATACACATCTCATTTATTCACTCTCTCTCTCTCTCTCTCTCTATATCAATTTATCTTACATTAAGGTCTTGTGGACTCTCACGAAGGATTGCGGTGGCGACGGTGAGGGTGAGTGCGCAGGTTAAGGCGGTGGTGACGCCCACCGCGTAAGATAGACGAAGTCGTCCTACCATGATGATCTCTGTGTGTGTGTGTGTGTGTGTGTGTGTGTGTGTGTGTGTGTTCCTCTACGAGGCTGCGTTAAGATTATGGGGGTGACTCGATGAAGAAAGGTAAAAGAACAGAGCAGAGCACGGTGGTGTTGAAGATGTGATAGTATGTATGTAGGACGCGTGGAATAGGCATAATGCTAGTTTGCATGAGATTCTCCACGTACTCACCTTGCTATGCTGTTACCTGCCTCCCCACCTCTTGTTTTATGAATTTTATGGAGTTGTAGTTGCCAGACAAACCTCCACTCATTATAGATTGGACAGCCTTGTCCATGTTCATGAAATTCATCACGTAATTTATATAGTTCATTTTGTTAAATATTTTATGTGTATTATTCGAGCAGCCATGAATTATTTTAAACTTTCTACTTCTTTGAATCATCCGTTATAAATTTTGAAATTTTGAAAATTTCTTTTCCCCTTGCCCATTGAATGCACACTCCTAGCACTCAAAAAAACCCTACTTCCAAAAAAATTCTAACAAAGCCCAAGAAGAAGAAAAAGAAGAAGAATAAGAGGCAATGTGATTACTGTCTTTGTTGCCTCATCCACAATTGTCACAATTAGTATGCTCTCTCTCTCTCTCTCTATATATATACACATAATTTCTTAGTTTTTTCATAATAATTTCTTATCTTGCAGAAAAAATTATAATAATTGGTTTAGTTTACTCAGTAAAGCAAGTCTGAACCTATGAATAATGTTCGGTTACATGTTTCCAAACAAATAAACAATGTTTGGGCCTGTATTTCCGAATTTCGGTCATATGTTCGGGAGTTCAGTCCTGAAAAAATGACGAACAAATTTTATTATTTTTGCCATTTTTTTTAACAAACTTACCCTTACAAGGCCAATATCCTCTGAATTAAGAACAACATCAAAACTATAAACCTCCTCTAAGCTTTTATTGTTGTACCCCTCTCGTTTTATGGATTTTATGGAGTTGTAGTTGCCAGACAAACCTCCACTCATTATCATTGCTGGAGAAGTGTAGGTGATCAAATGGTTGCCACCATTACCATTGGAATATTGCCAAAGGTTTTCAAGGTTTTTAGGGTGGATAGGTTTTGAAAGTGGGATTTAGGAAAGATGGATGTGTGGTGATGGAGGTAGATGCTCTCATAAACTCTAATTCATAATTTAGTGGGTGTGTAAGTTTAATTGTGAGATGAAATGCCTCAAAATTAATGATGTCCTTTGCAGTAATTTTATTTGAGGTTATTACTGTAATAAATATAAAAAATAAAATAAAATTAAGAAGTTCAAAATAATTTATGGAGTACTAATAGTAGCACTTTTATTATCCACATATAAAAAATTAGATTAATTTAATTATCATAATTTAGGAGTATTTTGGAAAATATTTTTTTTTGACTCTTTTTTTTTTTTTTTTTTTTTTTTTTTTGCGCTTATTTTTGAACTTTTTTCAAAATTTAATTTTTTTTGTTAGATTTCTAAATTCAACTACAAGACAAACAGGAAAATTATAATTTTTTTTTAAAAAAATCTAGAAAAGATAAAAATAAGCCGAAATAAGTAATATTTTTTGGTTTATTTTCATCTTTAGTATTTTTTTTTAATTTTTCAAAAAACATATACCTTTTAGATTCGTCTCGACAAGATGGACCAAAAAAGTAAAAATTTGTGACATAATTTTGAAAAAAAATTTAATAAAGACAAAAAAATTCAAAAAAAGATGTGACTTTTTTTTTTTTGGTTACCAAAATGGGCCTTAATTTATTGTGTTTGTCCAAAAAAAAAAAAAATATTAATTTTTTTTGTGGTGACAAACGTAATAAATTGAATAGACTAAGATTATTAAATTGATTTTTTTTTTTAGATAACACATACGAAGTGTCTAATAAAATGAACGATTTTGGTCGACGAAACGTGACCCACGACGAGCTTCACAAACTAGAACAAATGAAATTAGTTAGACAATTGTTCACTCTCACTAATTTAACAATATCTTGGTTCTTATGACAAATACAAGTTGTTCATCAAATTGTTGGAAATTTTGGTTTTATAAGTTTATTTTGGGTTAATTTTGAACCCAAATTTAAGCGGGGTTCACACATCTTTTGAGGTGAGTCAAAGTAGTGATATGTTCTTTGCCGCATGGCAAGTTACACGATGAATACAGTTCGTCAAAACCATTTATGAGTGAATGAAAAATTGATGTCGTTTTTGGTTTTGTGAAATAGAAAGTTGAAGAGACAAATGTTGGTTACCTTATTTTGGTTGTCCCACATAGAAACAATAAGAGAGATTGTATGAGTATATAAGTTTTAGGTTGACATACTTGGGATGGGCCTCAAGAGACACCCAAGTTTGTAAGGAGTAGAGTTATGGATAAAGTGGGTTTGACCCAAATTCACCACACACGCGTAGGTGCGTTGTGTGGGTCGGGTCGAGTCATAACTTTAATATTTTTTCAAATTTTTGTGAGAAAATTTGAATTCCTAACGAATTGATTCAAAATTTTGTGCCACAATTCGAATTCGAATTTGCTCCAAACTAGTGCCTTCTCCGGTCATCTTCCTTCACTTTTTCGACTATTCAAATTCGTACCTATTCGGAGGGTTTTTCTACTCTTCCGAACAGGCACCATTGTGCCTATAAATAGATGATTCTCCAGCATGTTCATTTATTCAATTCATTTCTTCCCGCTTTTCTTCCTTCCTACATTTGTTCTTTATTCTAGTTCTTAGAGTTTAAGAGAGTTACAGAACTCAGGTCCTGGTTCGCCAAAACAGATTATTTGTAGTGTTACTACAATCTGTGAGAGTGATCATTGTATCTTGGGCCCATGGTTCTGAATCTGATTTCACAAGTGTAATGTGAAATAGATAAATACAAATGAGTCCAAATCCAGCAAATCTTTTGAAAAATTGATTTTGAATAAAAAATGCCAAAATTAGACTGTTTTGCCAGATTTCAAAGTCGTCACCTAAATATTTTTGAAAAATTTAGGAAACTTATGACTTGTGCCAAAGGCCACGTGTCCGTCATCACCAAAGGGTCTCGGCTAGGGGAACTTAGGTATGAGAGGGGAATGTCATAAATTAAGCACCCTACTCACCCAATCAAAGATCGGCCTCTATTAATCATGATGTGATTTTTATTTACATCATATACTCTTGTTCTGATTATTAGGCTATTGTTACTATTTGATGCACACAAGTATAGGCTAATTTATAAAAGCTGGAACACTTTGATTTCATGTTTGTTTTGAAAATTGTTTTGAATATGTACCACTTGAAAAAGTGATCTCATATGCACATTACTCAAATTATCCCAATTTAAGCAATTAGCGTTCATTCATAGGCATTCAAATAGATATAGCACTTAAGCACTTAGCCTCATGGTAATCATGCTCGACATGGCAACAATCATCCTCATGTAATATGCTAAAGCAGTAAAGCTTACCCCAATTCTCGAGGCGAGCCAAAAAGAGAGAAAATAGTTAGAAAAATGCATGATCCTAACTAATAAAATATGCTTAATGTAACACATGCAATATGCAATTAGAAGTCTGGCTTCTAGCATAGCATGTAAATCAATTTGATAGCATGCAGTTTTACACATATTTTCAAAGAAGTATTTAAACGACAATGCTTATTTAGAATGAGGAGCCGAACCTTATGCATGTAAGACACATGGATGCAAATCATGAGAAATGCTAAGGGAAATGTGATGCTCTAAACTATCCATCATAAGTAAGGAAATAAAAGGAAGAAAGATGTGAGGTTGGAAGACATACACGCATTATCACAAGTTTGCCCTCGCGTAGTGTAGACACCTCATTTTTGACCGTCCTCAAGACTTGGACGTCATTGCTTGTGCACTAGATGATTATGATTGCATGGGCTTGTTTTAGTGCTCGAAGTTCTTAGCAGGATGCCACGGCTTTGCGTCTTTCAAACCCTACACCCTTGCTGCCTTGTTTTTGGACCAAAACCTTATTTTTTTTAAACCTGCACTTTCTGGTGGTTTGTCGGCCACCATTATGGGTTGTCGGCCTTGTCTCCTGGTTGTCGGCCATTACTATGGCCAATCGGTCATCAGTGGTGTCTGGTCGGCTACTAGTAATGGCCGAATGCCACCAGTGTTATTTTGCAGATATTTTGTTGACAGCAGTGCCAGCTGTTAGCACAATTGGTTGCATATCCCTAGACGTGTAGGGCTGGATATATCTTAGCCAAATGTATGTTTTTCTATATATAAGGGGTCTCCTCCTCCATTTTTGAGGGTTAGAATTTTTGGAGCACAAATTGTCTCCTCTCTCTCTCTCTTGCAAATTTGTGCACATTAGCCTACATATACTACACTTTTGCCTACACCTCCTTAACCAAAGTTGTTCATCTTTGAGCTAAGGTTCCTTGAGGTCTTCTTGGAGCTCTAGAAGGTGGTTTTGGCTTGAATTGTTGCCTAAAGTTAATCTTTGCTTCAAGAGGTATAATATTTCCTTTTTAAACTTGTTTTGCATACTTGTTTTTCTATCATCTTCCCACTATTTTTAGGCTGTAAAAAACTCTATTTTGGTGGGCTGAAATATGCGATTTTAGGCCATTTAAAGTTAGGGGGTGGTTCACCTTCTTTATTCCTTGTTTGTGAGACCTTACCACCTTTGTTTCCCACTTTCAAACTATCTTTTTTTGGCTTTTGAACACTGAATTTCAGAGTAATTTCAGTGGTGAAAATTATGTTTTGAGGTCCAAATTTGGAGGGGTTAGCCTCCCTTCATTGTGTCTTGTTTGCTAGCCTAGCTAGCTATATGTGTTAGCTTAATTTTCTAGCATTTTGTAGCTTAATTCCAACATGTTTTAGTCCCTGATTTAGAACATTTTAACCCTTTTTTGGGTTGGTTAAGTCATTTGAGTCTTGTATTGCATGCTTCTAGTGTAAGTGTCCTCACAAGCTTGGTGTTTTAGGCCTTTGGACACCACTTGTTTGAGTTGATTGCATTTATTTATGATTTTCTCACTTAATTTCAGCACTAATAATCTCTACAATCTCTCTTATTTTTTGACTCTTTTGTTTTGCTTTGAGTGTTGTTTTAAGCCTCTTATTTTTTTAAGCATGAGATTGAGGTTATCATGCTTAATGGTTTAATCCTTTTTAGGGGTTTATCATCAATGGCATGATACCTGTAGACGTCCCAGAACGCCCCGGGAGGATGAGTCCCGTTCTGTTCATTTGGGGTTCACTACAGCTCAGACTCTCAAATTGTCACGGTTCTTAATCTGAACCAAAGAGTCCAAATCCGGCAAATCGTTTTGAGAAAACAGATTTTTTGAAAGAAGTGTCAAACATGGACTGCTTTGCCAGATACAGAGTCGCCACCTAAATATTTTATTTTGGAGAAATTTAGGAAACCCTGACTCGTTGCCTAAGGCCACGTATCCGTCATCACCAAAGTTGCCTCGGCTCGGGAACTTGGGTACGATTGGGGAAGGTCACTTTGTGAGCACCCCCGCTCGCTCGATCAAAGATCGGCCTCTACTAACCATGGTATCTATTTTTGAAAACTTTATGCGTTCTTATTCCGGTTATTAGCCTAGATTTACTATGTGATGCGCACAACATACAAGTATAGACTGGATCGTCTGAATTTGGAACAAAACATTTCATGTTTATTTTTGAAAGTGGTTTGATAGTGTTACCCGCAAGTAGGCTAAGACGTGGATTTGTCACCCTCAGGTGGGCTTAAGAAAACATGATTTTGCCACTATCTAGTGGGCTTAAAACTCACAATTAATGAATTGTTCCAATTCAAATAACCCAACCTTCATCCACAGGCATTCAGGCAGATATATCACATAAGCAATTAGCCTCATGGTAAGCATGCTATCATGGCAGTCACTCACACGCATGCAAGGATGCTAAAGCATAAAACTCACCGAGTACCCCAAGCCAAAACAGAAGGTAATTAGAAATCCATGCACGATCCTAATTATACGGAAATGCCTAATGCA